TAGCTCACCTCTGCCTCCATTGCACAAAGTTCATTCAAAAACTCCGAACATTTTGCCCCAGAACTATTCTCCCCTTGTAAACAGCTGTACAGACTTAACCCAAAATGGGGAGGCCTAAGGGGATATTCCAAGCTTATCTTTATCTGACAAAAGATTTTGTATATTATATATTCCTTTTCTCAAACAAGTGCAGGAGAAAATAGTGCGCAAAATGAAAAATGAATGAGAACAGTTATTAGATCTAACCTTGGCTTCGAGTTTTGTGATCCTTCCATCATTATCCGATTTCCGAATCAGCACAAGACAATATTCTCGGATCCCATAGTCAACCCATAAATTGTCAATCAATTCCTGCCCTCCAAACGCATCATCAGATGCTTCCTCCGCTTGAACCTGCTCATCCAGCTCGTTTTCCGAGTCCAGCATGATATCAACATCTTCTTCCTGTTTCTTGAAGCTGGGCGACTTTTTTGCAAGCGGGGATATAATGCTACTGGAAATCAAACTCAACCTTTCCGAGCGCATGAGCTCAGATCCTTTACTGGGGGTGAGGAGATTAATGTCATTTACGCCAGTGGCAGCGGCAACCAGAGATGGGAGCTCGCCATCTTCTTTTGTGGGCTCCGTATCCTCGTTGGACATCTCGATTTTTCCATCAGCATCTATTGGTATGGGACCTTGCTCTGTTTCATCCATGGGCAAAGATGTGGTATTGTTGCCAGTGGAAGTAATAGACCAAGCATATAAGTTGCATTTGGGCTTGTATGAGGCCCATGGGACAGTCTCGCAGGTCAAGGTTGGCCATTTAAGGTTCCTGAGCGAGTCAAGTAACTCCCTGTAGGTTCAGCCATTATGTAACGGGTTTTAAATGGAAACATTATGTCCGTACATAGGGTGCAGAATAAATTGTGTAATGTCAAGGACAGGTTCAAAATTATGCCAAAATAACCACACAGTATGTAAGTAGATAGTAATAATTGATCACACAGCACAAATTTGAGTACAATATCAGATAAACTCATCAATAAGTAAGTTCTTGAGCATTGAACATGGAACAGAAAGTACTATCTAATCCAACTAAATATTTTTTGTATGTCTACAAGATTTTAATAAATGCTGGGGTTCTACGAAGTACAAAGATTTCAGGACAGTGACTCACGCAAGAGCCAGCTGAGCCTTTTTCCGGTCACGAACCCTTTGCACAACTGTTTGTACCCTGTTTTGCTGACGGTATAGCGACAGACCCGATGCAAAAGAAACAGGTTTAGCAGTTGCACTATTTGATTCCTCAGTGGCCGAAACTAGTGGCGGCACCTCTGGCAAAATATCGATGCCAGCCAAGTGCTGGGCCCATTTGTATGGTCTTGAAGTTCTCTTTTCATCAAAAGAAAGAGAATCTCCAATGCGGAGCTTTGCTAACTGCAAGAAGTTGCAAATGAATTTTATTAGTATTGGAATAAAACACGTTTTGTATTTGATAATGGTCGATAACTGAATATCAAACCTGCTGAGGGAGCTCGAGGCCAGTGTCATTTGGAAACAAGTTGCTCAATATACTGTCTTGAGAAGCTTCTTCAGAACCCTCCACGCCAACACACACGACGTTCAACTTTATTAAGAATTCAAACTTCAAGGTGATGAGTTTAGTTGAATTTACTTCAGAACCCTCATCATCATAGACATGGAGGGTAACTTTAAGTGGATGACTTTGACATATGCCAGCCTGTTCAAGACTCTCCTTGCTGGGAACCTTCTTCGATCGTTTTCTCCTCCTTTGACCATCATCTTCCTCATCTGGCATGTCATCCTCTATCTTGGAGTTTTCCAAATTTGATGCTATATCTGAAATAACAGATCAAATATAATATAGAAATCCATCAAGCACCCAATATTCACAATAATATATTTATCATGAACAGTGAACATTCATAAGACACACACCCATTATACATACACCCATCTACATGCATATGCGCACACACAGAGGCAAAAAGTCAAGTAGTTATCCAGCGAAGACTCATCTTACCAGCCAAACCGATAAATAGACCTACAGTAAATCTAATCTAATCACCACATAAGGAACACAAAGTTTAAGTCCCAACTCCTATTTAATTCAAGCAAGTTGCTTCCGTAAGTATCTCAGGTGATAATGACGATGACAGGAAGATATATAACACATGCACAGCGCAATACATATATTGTATTAGTAAAGTATGGAAACTTCATTAAACAAAATAAGGGGATTATGAGCACGCTTTTTCTACCAGAGCCCTTGTTGGCTAGCTGACGGGCAAAAGCCTGAGCATCCTTCACACTTCCTGTGATCTCCAGCTCAATGTTCTCTCCAAAGGCTTCCTTTTGCGCAAGTAACTGAGAGTAGACCACATACAGAGGAGGTGGAAGCAGCTCCGTTAGTTGACGCTGCTTTAGTTTCTTGGTATGCAGAACCCCTAACTGATGCTGGACAGGCAAGGATGCTTTCTTCAGAGCTTTGAGGTGTGAAGGCAGACTTGATAAGAACTTCTTCCTGTTAGTAATTGTCTCTTGGAGAGCTTTCTTTTGTTGTTCCAATTTCTCACGAAGTGTGCACAGTTCTTTTCTCTGAAACGGTAAAACGTACCAGTAACTAAATTGGATGCGTCAAACGGCTATAAGAAACACACACATGGATGCAAGAAGAGACAGATCAATTGGGAAATAACAGAATACAAGAACCAGACTACAAGTGGAATTCATGTATATCAACCAGGTATATCTTTTGCAGATATGTAGCATGACTAAGGAGAATATCCAGGTAAGGTATGGTTCAGGGTAAGTAGAAAATATTGAAAATGCATCTAAAGTAGAAACTCTTCTACCAATTCAGAACTTCAGCTACAAATATACTAAGAGAATAGAAGGGTAAAACAACAACAACAACAACAACAACAAAGCCTTTAGTCCCAAGCAAGTCGGGGTAGGCTAGAGATGAAACTCAAGAGAAACAATGGAAAGAGAAACACAAAAAGGGTTCGAAACAAAAAGGAAGAGGTTGGAACAAAAATAGAAAAGAGCAAAAGTCACGGTTCTGGCACGTGGATTGCTAGCCTCCAAGCGGTCATATCCACCGCTAAATCCTTGGAGATATTCCAATCTTTAAGGTCTCTCTTAACCGACTCTTCCCAAGTGAGTTTAGGCCGACCTCTACCTCTCTTAACATCTTCGACCCGCTGTAGAACTCCCCTACGCGCCGGTGCATCAGGAGGCCTCCGTTGCACATGTCCGAACCACCTCAGCCGATGTTGGACCAATTTCTCCTCAATTAGAGCCACCTCGACCCTATCTCGAATATCCTCATTCCGGGTTCTATCCCTTCTATGATTGTTCAGGCTAATGATCGTTCTAGCCAACTTTTCATATCACAAAAGCCATGCTGCAATGATAAAATTGTCTAACAGATTCCGGAATTCTGCGATCAAATATTTACGATTTCTTTTCGCAAAGTCCTAGTGCAATTAAACTAATGAAGACCCTGAATATGGCCTCCTGTAAACAAGGCAACGTTTAATTTAATTACATTTTATATCTCAACAATCTAAAAGCAGAGATATATTATTCTCTGACTCAACCAAGAAGTTGCAATTTGACTGCATGAAGGGTGCATTAATCTTACAGACTTACTATTCATGCACAAACTGCTGATACGTAAAAGTGGTGGGTCAGGGTTCTCTGGGAAAGACCATTAGACGATGAAAAATGACCAGTGTTGCTATTAACTTAATTACACAACAAAGAAAACTTGCCTGATACAGCTCATAGTTGAGCCTCTTAAGCATCAAATCGTGTGCGGCATCAGCTGACAGTGTGGAACTCTTGATATCTTCAGGCACGTCTTTGAAGAATTCTTCCTCAGGTACAAGTTCAATGTCAGGATATTTGGTCTTGAAGTCTTTGCAAGCTTTTATTGCTTTGACATAGTGATTTTTCTCATACATCAAGTTATGGAGCTGCAAGGTTGTCAGGTCCACAGGCGCTTTTGCTCGTTCAGTTTCAGCTTTCACCTTATCTTCTTCAAGCAAGATAGACCTATTTGCCTGGTTCATGGGTACCCAGCACTTAGTAAGCTTAAATTACGACAACGTACCCACCACATATAAACTATTCAGAACAAGAAAGAGCATGAACATCCGAATGGCAGAAGTTCTACAATTAAGGTTAAAAAATTTGTTAAAATAGAGCTGAACACATCCTCATATTTCTACTCATCGGTTTTGTAACTTCAAATTTATACTTTTTCACTGAAATATCACAGTATTCCAATACCCTACTTTAAAACCTCTTCAGTGAGCTCATTAAAATTAAACAGGTTACAAACAAAATCACCGAGCCCCTGAATCAAAATTAACCCTAATCCGAATAATGTCGAGGTTCAAAGAGCACATGAAACTTGAGAGTAAATAATATGCATAGAGAACGACGGTTCTAAGAAGAGTCATAACTATTGGGATTAAATCAGACCTGGCGGAGGTTCACAAAATTGAGAAGAACTTGAGTGACAAGTTCCCGGAGCTGGGATTTGGGTTGAGCTTCTTTCTTGAGAGACAGCATTTTGGCAACGATTTCCTCCGAGGAAGACTTGCTCCGTCGCAGCATATCGTACAGCGCTGCCATGTCGACGTTGCGCTCCGGCAGGATTTCGCCGGGCTCCGCCATTGCGACATCCATTTTCTACGGTTCTATTTTAGCTGCCTGTACTGAAATAATGGCTCAGATCTGTTAAGGAAAAACAAAGAGAAAATTACGAGAATGTATCATTTGAGATTTTTAAAAACTTTAAAAATTTTACAATATTTAATTTAAACTTTTTAAAAATTTCAAAAGCATTGAAGTATTCATTTGGTATTTTAAAATGACTTGCAAAAATATTGAGATATTTAATTTATTGAAACTATCATTTGTTAAAACTTTTTAAAATTTGTTATAATTTCTAGTGAAAAAAAAACATCCGAAATTTCACTTCAAATTCTACCTCCAAATCAAGATTTCACTTGATTTCTCTAGAATCTGAAAATCTTAAAAAAATTAAAATATGAAAAAATCTCAAAATATCACTGGAAATCCCAAATGAAAACACCCTTTAAATTTTTATTTATTTAAACATTTACCAAAATTTTCATTGAGGAACCCATCGTGTGAGTTTTTCACAACGCCAATTTAACAGTTAGTTCTTTCATCTCATTAAGTGCTAAACAAATTATACGACGAACGAAGATAATTAATAAATTACAAAATATTTATGCAGATAAATTACGCAACAGTCAACAGACATACGAAGATAATTAATAAATTACAAAATAATTTATGTCATAAACTATGCGGAAGATACACGGAGATAACTGATAAAGTGCAAAATAATTATGTAATGAACTACGCCACAAGCAAACAAAGGTAATTGATAAAGTGTGAAATAATTATGCAATAATGTGTGCGACAGACATGCGAAATAAATTGACCAAGTGCGAATTATTTATGCAATAGACTATGCGACAGACATGCGAAAATAATCAACCAAGTGAGATCTCATTATGCATAAACTACGCGATAATATACGAAATTAATTGAACAAGTGCGAAATTTATGCGATAAACTCTTCGATAGACATGTGAAAATAATCGAACAAGTGGATCTCATTATACGATAAAATATGTAAAAATAGGTAAAGTTAATTGAGGAAGTGCATAAAAATAACGCGACATATAAGCAACGAATATGTAGAGATTTGTTTGAACAGTCGGTCAATCACGCGTCTGCCAAATTTAGTCGCAGATCAACCTATTGACTTGATTTTCATCTATGTCGTATAGCTCATCGCATAATTTATTTCGCACTTTATTCATAATTTTCATCTGTTCATCGTATAAATATTTTGTACTTTATCAATTATTTTCTTTTGTCTATCGCATAACTCATCACATAATTTATTTCGCACTTGGTAGGGTGAAAAAAGTTCATGTATGGGGAGTCTCTGTTTTTAAAACTGAGGTAAAAATAGCTATTTTCTTGTGACGGTGTTTAACTCCACTTTAAGAACATCTTCAACGGTCTTTTCATTGCTTTACTTTATTGGCACATGACATACAAAAATTGATGTGACATGAAAAATGTCTAGATGACTTTTTAGATGTAGAAGTTTTTCTAAACAACTTCTATTATATACTTATATTATTTATTCAATATACTCCTCTTCTCCAACCGGTTACAATTTTATACATCACAAATCACACATCAATTAACACTGATAAAAATTTTTAATTTCCTTTCTCCATGTATACAACACAATTTCTATTGGAGATGCTCTAAAGCTTTTCCCGCAATCTTAGCCAAATTACCCTCCATTGTCCGGTCAAATTTTCAGTCAAACCCCCATTTCACCCTAAAAAGACATAGGTAGGAAGAAGAGAGAATCCCAATGAAGAACCTTTTAATTTTGACACAACACAGGCATAATAATTTAAGACACCATCAATTGACCATCTCTCAAAGTCCAAAAAAACACCGTTTTTTACGTAAATCTAACATGCCAAGCGAACAACTTTCCACCACACCACCCCCACATGATTATCGATGTGGAAAGCCATTTTTCACTAATATATATATATAACCAAAACCAATAATAATAACAAAGATTGTATTCACATCATTTTTCATGTAGTAGCTAGCCCACTCTTAAAAGTCTCTCTCTACCTCGCCCAACAGTCCTACCCTGAATCCCATTTCCCGTTCCTTCCCCTGCTAAAGAATGCCGGAGCTGGAGGGCTTTCAGGATTCGAGATCGGGCTCTGCGGCCCGTGATTTGAGCCCGGATTCTGTGATTTTCACCGCCGAGTCTTCCAACTTCAGCCTCTTCTCCTCAGCTTCAGCTAGTGTCGAGCGCTGCTCTTTTGCATCTGATCAAGATTTTGTTGCCTCTGTAATTTCTCGAGACATTTTTGGCCTTGTTTGTTTTTAATCGACTGCATTTCATAGATTGTTCATTTGTGGGCTAGTTTACATGTTTAAATCACAATTCTGTTTTATCTTTTTTCTGTTTCTGAGTTAAGATCTCATAGTGTTTTTTATGGTATACATTTTCGTTGCGCGAGGGCAACATAAAATGGATTGGAAAATTGTAAATGTATTGACCCTGAAAGTGAAAAAAATCAGTCTGCATTTTTTGAGATTTATTTTCTCCATTTTTCTGTTGGGAAGTGAGGAGGAATTTATGAGCTAGATTTGTTCGTAGATGGGCTGTGATATGCATTATTTGATTGGACTCTGCAGTTGACTAAAATTTATTCATATTCTTTTCAATTTTTTTTAAAAAAAAGAGAGAGAAAATAAATGTATGTCCAGTAAGTAAAAGGTTGAAAGCTGAAATCTTTGATTTGAAACAGCATTTGGCAGGACATGAATTGTCTGAGGTAATGAGTAGTGGCCCAGATCCAGACCCGAACAAACCCATGCTTGTATGCAAGAACAGTATTGGTCTCAGCAGAAAACAAAAAACCAAAGGTACAATCTTTACCTTACCTCTTGAACCCTGCTGTCTGTTGTGTTGGCTCTAACTGATTTGAATGTTGAAATCTAAAAAACTAGACTTTGAGCAATTTTAGACCAAAATGCTAACTTCAAATTTTCTCCCTCAACTATGATCTTTTTACTTTAGGTCAAAAGGTAGATAGTAGTGAGGCTGAGACCACGGAGGATGAGAATACAGCCTCCGCAAGAAATTCATTCTCCCAAGCCCTTAAAGGTACTATAAAACAATTGACTATCCATTTCAAGAACGTCAAGTTTCATTCTATGTCAAATATACTGATTTTCCCTCCTTTCTTGGTCCGTGTTCAATTATTAGAATGTCAGGACCGGAAATTAAAATCCTCAGCACACCTGAAAAAACCAGACCGAAGAAGGCCTATCTCTATGGATCTCAACAACACTGTAACGGTAAATAATGTCGTAAATAATACCTCTTCACCAAGACTCGGAATTATTAAAAAACAGCCCACAACACTTTGCAAGATGGGAATACTCCCAAGCCCGGTAACTCCCAACTACCGGCAATCAAACATTGGTATTCAAAAGGGCTGGAGTTCTGAGCGGGTCCCACTGCACCATGCCAATGCCAACAGGAGGAACTTAAATACTCCGCTGCTGTCCTACAATAACAACGGTAGGACTCTGCCCTCAAAATGGGAGGATGCCGAAAGGTGGATTTACAGTCCTGTGTTGGGTGACGGTGGTTTGATGAGGACTGGTTTGGGCCAGCAAGCTCAGAGGAAGCCCAAATCGAAGAGCGGGCCGCTTGGGCCCCCAGGAGTGGCCTACTATCAGATGTTCTCTCCTGCAGGGCCCATGTTTGAAGTTGGGGGGAATAGTAATGGGAAGCTGACAGTAAGCTCGCCGTTTTCAGCCAGCGTTGAGCTTGTGGGCAATGAGCCTTGCATGGCTCGATCGGTTAGCATACATGGATGTTCTGAGTTGGTGGGCCAATCATCTTCAGCCCTAAACCAAAATGGTATGGGATATTTTTTTTTTTTTCAAGGAAAAAAGCCATGTGTGTGTTTTTGTGTTAAATTATAGGAGTTGCCTTTGAGTTTACACTAATGAATGGAAAAATTCAGTTTAGATGTTTTTGTGTTTATTGTCCTTTGAGTGTGGTGTTTTTTTTTTGGAGTTTTCCGAGGAAGTGATTTTATTGCATTTTATATTTATCTCTTGAGCCATCTCTATTATATCTTGTCCAAAAACTGTACGTCTCATGAAATGCATAGTTGAGCGTGTAAAATGAAGAAAATAAAAATAAAATTCGAGTTGGCATAGTACAAAAGAACCTCCACACTTCATCGTTCACGTGTTAATTTGTCATAATCATTTTCTGTTACAAATATGCCCTCTGATGTAATATAAACACTTGTTGAGGTTTGTATTTGCTGCTTGACAAAGGACTAGCTGCAGCTTCTAAACTATGAACTAGTTATCAAAGGGTGTCCGAGTTGAAAAATTACGGCGTGCTTCTTGTTTTAGTAGATTCAACTTCAAGTCTTCTTTCCTTTTCTCTGTTTCTGTTTACCCTTATCTCGATTTTATCTCTTTATGTATCAGAAGAGAAATATGAGGGGGGCCAAGAAGAAAATGCGGCCAACAATATATCTCGAGTTGTTTCTAGAAGGGATATGGCTACTCAAATGAGTCCGGATAGTAGCAGCCTACAGTCCTCTCACAGGCTTTCATCGTCTTTTTCTGAGGCTATACTGCCCGTTGCTGAGTCACGGCACAAACCTGAAATAAGGGATGTGTTAGTTGACGAGCGTGTTACAATGACTAGGTGGTCAAAAAAGAATGGAGGGATTATAAAGAATTCGGGAAAGGGCAGCAGAAGTAGTGATGACTGTAAAAGGAATGCCATGAACTTTCAGTCCGGTGGTTGGGAAGCTATGGAGGAGGGATCTAAGAGTATTTCAAAGTGAGTTTTATTTAAATTAAAATAAAAAAAAAATTCTTTCTTTGTTCTTTGGAATTGTGATGATATGCTTTTTGTGGGAAGAATTTAATTTTGGCGGTAATATAATGTTCAAGAATTACAACTAATTACATTTTAGAAATTTAAAGACAATGAAAAGCTGAAGTAAATCGAGCAAAAATACCCAATTGCAGGATCCAAAGGGAGGAAGCCAAAATAACAGCATGGGAAAACCTGCAGAAAGCAAAAGCCGAAGCCGCAATAAGAAAACTCGAGGTAACTAAAACCTATATATGGTCGCTTTCCGCACTATTTACAAATAAATCACTAAAGATTTTCGCGCAAGTTGATCGATTCTTTTTTTGTATGGTTTTATAGATGAAACTGGAAAAGAAGAGGTCATCTTCAATGGATAAAATAATGAACAAACTGAGATCGGCCCAAAAGAAGGCCCAAGAAATGAGAAGCTCTGTGCTGACCAATCAAACTGCAGGACCCTCAGTCCAGAGGACAAGGCCGATTGGCTCATTGAGTGGATGCTTTAGCTGTCATGCATTTTAATGCAATTTCTTGGCCTGCTTTGGGGTTTAGTGTGTGTCAGGTATGTTTTCGAATTCGAATGAAGTAAATTCAGCTCAGACTTCTTCCGGAAGTCTTTACTGCATGGTTTTGTTATTCGAGCAGTGAAATTGTGGAGTACTTAGACATAGTGATTATTGATTTGGGGTGTTGTATGAGTATGTATATTAATTATACTTGAAGCCTATTCCAATATGGATAGTATATCCATCTTGTTCATAATATTTTATGCATTAACTGATTAGTCAGTATACCAGTTAATTTGATGTACTTTATCAAATTTCAATCAACTGCCTGCCCAAAACTGTAGCCTGACTCGAATTGGTTAATATTTTACTTGATATTGGATGAACAGATTATGTTAGTTCAATCCAATTTTGAAAACATCATATAGTGCATTTAGAGAAATTCATACTTTGTTAAATACATATTCAATGATATATACATGCACTAGAAATGAATAATGAAATATAAGACGGAAACACTATCTTTTTNCATTTACACAAATGCAGAGCCAATAATACAATATTGCAGGAAATCATTCCCAGATACATAACTGGAAATTTCCTTGCATCTTATTTTATTATCATTTAGTTACAGAATTTGATTTGCATGTTTAAATCAAGTATAGCTCCCATATCAACGTTGTCTAGTGCTGTTTGAGAACTTGATTAGGTCCCCCAGGATAAACAACTGATGGTAATTTCCCAAGCCTCGTAGAATTAACATAATCCACTAGCACGTGATCGGTAAAACCCGGAATTACCAAAGCAAACACCCTTAACAATTTCATCAACCACCCTTCTCTATAATCCTTACCTCTTCTCCAGGGCAAGATAAAACTCCTTATCAGCTGGTATACCGCGGTTAAAATCTTGGGCACCACGTAAAACAAGGAGAAGTAGTTCTTGTTTGGTTCCTCCTCCAAAACCTGCATTAATTGATTTTCAAGCAAAAATTAATATATCACGTGCCGTATATTAATATTAGTAATAATTAATAAATGTATTTTTTTACTAAAAAAAAAAAAGTAGACTCACAAATCCTTTGTAGCAGCTGTTGAAGTATAGACAAGGCCCAAAATGCTTGAACATAAAAGCCTTGTCATCATAGGGCAACCTGGGCACTAAGTCATTATTATAAACGTATCTAAAATACTTGACACTATAATCCCTCAATTTTTTCTTCATGTACTCCCCAAATTGCTCGTTCCCCACTCTCGGCTGCCCAAACGTGTAAACACCTTCCATCCTGCTCAACAAAAACTTCTCGTCGTGTATAGCCAAAACGCCCGCGAACAAAATTGCTAACGCCCCACCCAAGCTGTGCCCCGTCACCATGAACTTTGCATCGCTATTTTCATGAATCAACGTTCTGAGTCTCTCGCGGATGGTGTAGTAGGCGTAGGGCTTATGGGCCGGCCCAGTGGGTATTTCCTTGGGCCAGCCCGTGCATTTTTGGAGGCCCAAGGCTTTCATGAAGCCGCCGTGGATTTTGCCCACTCCCTTGAACTCGTACCATGAGATGTCGACGTCCGTGCGCCAGTCGTCGGTGTTGAAAGGCTCCGTGCCCCTGAATGCCACTGTGATTAGGTTGGGGCCCACATTTTTGTTCTGGAAAATCATCGCGTTTGTCGTCTTTGTTTGCTGGTAATCTACCAAACACGTCCACAAAATTACCGCTCTAATAATTAAACACGGATTTTATTTACCTACATATGCATGTAATTTTATTTTAGCTTAATTCGGCTCAAGTTTAATTAGTTTGTTAATTTTCATAAATGAACCAGCTTGGACTCCATCATCCGCCCCTCGCTTAGTTAAACTATGTCTTCATTTGAGATTTTAAGAGCCATTTAAAAACTTTGTGATATTTTTAGACTTTTTAGGGTGCGATTGGATATGAATCCAACCGATTTTGACCGGTTTTATTTGATTAAAATGAGTTATTTTGAATAAAGTAGATTGATCAGTGAATGTTTTTGAGGCTTAAATTAAATAATATTTAAAATGTCATGATTAAAGTTGATGTTATATAAATATAGGGAGAGAGTATTTAAAATAATAAATAATTAAAACTATGTGAGTAAATGGATAATGAATTAAAATTGATCTGATGTGTGAGAATGACTGATTGATATTATTTACTTATATTTACAAAATGAATTGAATTGATGAGTTGGATTTTGAATTAGAAGATTAAATATGAAATAACCCAACCGGTTATAACTCGTATCTAATCAGGCCCTTCAGATTTTGAAATTTAAGAAGAATTATTGAAAATCTTAAATCTGGAAGTGAGATTTTGATGAGATTTCGTATAATTTATTTTTTATTGAGATCTCAACAAATTTTAAATATCTTAGTATATCTCAGAATCAAATAAGTAAGATACCTCGTGTTTGGGGTGAGATTTCGTAAAATATTTTTGTTTATGAAATATAAAAAAATCTTAATAATTTTAAATTTTAATGTCAAATAAATTAAATACCTCGTAATTTGTTAAGGCGTTTAAAATCTCCAATGAATACCACATGTGTTGAAAATAATAAATCATTATTAAAGTAAATAAATCATTATCAAACATCCTGTAATACAAGGTATCGTACTAGGAAGTAAATAAATCATTATTAAAGTAAAATGATATTTACGTATATACGTAAATATCGTGGTCAGAATGGTATGACTAGCTTTGCGGAACGTACAAACCTCTTCTTCACATTTTTTTTTTGGTACAATCTTCTTCTTCACATTTAGAATAAGAATGGCAGGTGTAGTGGTCCTAGTGGGTCCATATATATGGATCGACCACCTTAAACTATTATTAAGACAGCAACGTGATTAACAGCTAATTAAGATTCCCTTCTATTTATGATTAATAGTTTAATGAAGCAATTATCGTCTTTTTTTGCTTAATTACAAGTTCGTTTGCATTAAAAAGATGTGCATTTTTCTTATTTCTATTTTCTATTGTAGGACAACTTTTTGGCATTTGGAAGAAGATAGAAATTGATAAAATTTGAGGGAATTAAAACTCTTGGTTATATGATCAAATAAGTTACGGGTTAATCTAAGCCACTAACTCTTTAGTTTTAAATTTAATATATTACGAAATTAGCCATGTCATGGTGACTCAATCATGATCATTTTTTTTTTTTCTCGGTGTCTCATTTTTATATTCTTTTGAACAATCTGAATGTGATAGATTCTATTTAGTATTTGTAATATATAGTTTTTATTTTTTATATTTGAATTTGGAATTCAGGTTCTTACCATTCCAGAATAAAATTTTTGAAGACGATACATGATGACAAACTGTGGCAAACATACCCGCCAATGATTCGTGATGATATTTCTAATAAATGATTTATTTTCGTAGGATAGTTTTGATGCCATCATAGCCAGGGCTGCGTTGTATTTGTTGCTCTCAGTTGCAATATTTGTGTCTAATTCCAATCTTCTGTCCACATTTGCAGCCGTTGATTTAAATGTTGCTGATGTTTTATCTGGTATCACGAGCCTCCCTAAATTATAAATTCAAAAAATTCATCATATTCGTGGGTGATGATTTAATTTCTTTCTATCTTTATATTAATTGTTTCATTTGACTTTTTCGGAACATATGGAACATGTAAATTCTTATATGAAGCGCCGCAATCATTATGTGGGTAGACTCGCCATACAATTTTAACAAAAATCAATACTATACTATAAAATGTCATAAAATTTGTTTTGAATTTTTTTAAAATATGACATTTAATTTGAAAGTATGCATATTTGTTAGAGATATTATAACTGCCTAACATGAACCTTATTGTTATTAATTATGAAGGTATAGCAGTCTATCAATAACAAAAAAGCATGAGCAAGAAAAGAATATTTTGTGATAGAAGAATGATATTACAAAAAACTAGTCTTATTAATTACAAGAAATATTATATAATGCTAATTAATAAGAAATTGTTGAAGAAATTAAATAAATTAATTAAATCTTAATTGTGTTCAGGCTCTTTAGCCCGAGCTATACGGTTTCAATTTTTGTTTTAGTAAAACTATATTATTTAGGAAATAATTAATCTAGATCGATGATTTTACTAAAACAAAAATTGAAATTGTATAGCTCCGGCTAAAGAACCTGAGCACAATTAAGATTTAATTAATTTATTTATTTTCTTCAACAATTTCTTATTAATTAGCATTATATAATTCACAAAATCTCAAATTACATTGGTTAATCATAACTTACTCATAGTTATTATTATCACATAACGACGTTACGTATAATATTTCATTTTTCTTCCACAAACCACGTTGCATGCAAATAATTATATAGTACCTGTCAAAAGATTGAAGAATAGGCGGCGGCAGCCGCCATTGGCCGCAGGTAAATTCAGAAAAAACTCCACCACCGTACCCACCGCCGCCAGCGGGATTTTGATAAAAAGCAGCACTTTCTGAACAAGTAAAGAGATGAAAACAATCCATCTATGGTCAAAACGGCTCAACACGCCTTCTTCCGGGCAATTGAAAAAATCCCTTCTTTCTAAATTCCTCGAAAATAATATTCTGAACAAGTCCAACAAACTGGCCTTTTCAGGTTTAATTACTAGATAATTATCGCAGAAGCTATCTTCTTCTTCTTCTTCACACGCCATTGACGTTGCTTGAAAGCAATTGGAAGAAAATGAGATATATTAACTATTAAGGCAGATGAGTTGCTACTTTCTAGGAAGTTATATACAACTTTTTTTATTGCAAAATATTAATACGCACTTGAAAACTTCGGTGTAAGAAAATATTAATAAATGAAGTTATTAATCATCATCCGTGGATCAAGATTGTGATTAAGATAATCTAATTGTAGTCGTCAATTGCGTTCGTGAATTAAAAACTCCAAGATTGGTAAAATTTTAATTGTTGTGTGTGTGTGTGTGTGTTTGTGTGTTACACATTGTGGAATTTATTTTCATATAATGTCACACATGCATGATCCTTTTTCTCTAATTACTTTCTAGCTACATTTCGTTTTTGCTTTGTTGTTTTGTTTAATTAAAAGTTTTGTAGCTAAAAATGGCACAAAGAAAGGTAAAAATGTTTTCTTTCTTTTATCGTTTTGTAATTTCCTGCTTTTCTTAAATTTGTGTTAAAGGCGGCTCCAAAGAATAAAATTTAGAGAAGGCAACAATTACTGAGATTTAGATATAATCAGTATAAAATAATCTTCTCCTCATGTAAGTTCAATACATCTAATATATAATAGTGTAATTTATTAGTCAAAGATCAACTAACTCGAAAATCAAACTATAACCTTTCTTGACAGTTAGTTTAATTCCGTCTAGGCAGTAAACAAGTATTAATATGTTATAAGACACCAATAATATGATCTTTCTATTCGTCACATCGAACTATATTATTTACAATGTAAAATAAAAGAACTATGCTTACATAAATAAAATATGAATCTCATTCAACATGGTATTGTTAGAAACTGAAAGACGAATTTTTACATTATATCCTAACAATCTCCAATTTATACTCTATAAAGTTTTTGGTTATTGTTAAATATAAATTCTTTCAATTTAATTCTCAAAGACTGATCTTGATATAACACGAAAAATGACCCGGTCGACCGGCTTGAGCGGTTAGTTTGGGTACGGCCGATCCAAGAAAGCTTAAGCCTGATTTGTGCGATTTAAAGATATATGATATTTGTTTAACATCTATAAAGCTTTAGGAAATATTCCTAAAAGATATTTAAGATAGTTGGTGTATATATAAACAATGAAGGATCAAAATCCTTAGTTAATAAGGAACCCCTTGTCTTGAGGAGTAAGTCATTAGACGAATGTATTCAGTTGAAATTTCTAAAAACTTTATAAGATTTTAGAAAACCTGACATATTTAATTTAGACGTTTTAAGACTTGTAAAAGTTTTTGGGAATTTATGTGGGATTTTAAAAAGTCTTACAAAATCCATCATTTGAGATTTTAAAAGTCTTGCAAAATGATGAGCTATTTAATTTATTTGAGACTAGGATTTGTTAAGACTTTTTCATTTGGTATTTTAAAAAGTCTTATAAAATCTTGCGCTATTTAACTTAAGAGCATATCCAATGCTCAAATGTAGTTGTAATAAATTACATTCTACATTAACAAATTTAGTCATTTCTCTACTTTTAATCCTCTAATGCACAAAGTTAACACAAATATAGTGATGAGGTGGATATATTAAATGTATACAATGTAGAGAAGGATGTGGTTCATCCACATTCTCTTTCACATCCTAGCCAACTAATAGAAAGAGGTGAGAGAATTATTATTACCATTTTCAAAATATCACTTATTTAATTTATTTTCTTTCATATTTATAATTTGTTTATTTTGGCCAAGTGGACAATATTGTGTTTGATTACATTGTGCATTGAAGATAGTTTTTTAGATTTAAAGTTGTGAACTTAACAATTATCTTATGTGGTTCACAATCCATATAACAAATTGACATTTGTCAAAATTTACGTAATAACAACATTCAAGCATTGGAGATGCTCTAAGGGGGATGTATTCAATTGAGATTTCAAGTGATATTTTTATNAACGACAGGGATAACTATTATAAATCTCAAGCGAACATAGTTCGAATACAAGGGTACAAAGGAAACCGAAACCGAAAAACTAAAAAAGTGAGAGACACGCTAGAACCGGTCTAAGCCTCAACAAGCAAAAACCAACCTAACCAAAACAGTCTAGAAAGCTACAAACCACAAATCAACCTCCCAACTACAAACCAAAGCCAACAAACACCACCAACCGACATAACAGCTACAAACCAAAGCCAACAAAATTTTTTCTTAAGAAATCCCACAAAATTTTAAAAAGATTTAACAAATCCATGTCTTAAATAAGTTAAATACATCATAATTTTGTAAGACTTTTTAAAATCTCAATCGAATACCCCAATACTTTTAAAAGTCTTAACAAATCTAAATTAAATACATCGGGGTGTCTAAAGTTTTCTAAATTTTTTATTTGAGACTAGGATTTAGTATTACTTTTTTAAGATTTGACGGGATTCTAAAAAAAAAAACTTATACGAAATCCCACTAAAAATCTCACCACTAAGCTTTAAGATTTCACAAGATTTCTCCAAAAACTTTAAAAAGTTTCAAATTTGTCTCAAAATGACACTCGGAATTCCAAACACAAATACAACTCCTTAAATATCGGGATCCAAGTTCAATCTTTAACCTAAGCTCTATTCAATTAGAGTACCTTTAAGTATTAGCTTTCTGACTTGTGCGTCGAAGTCCGGGCCTCTCCCCTGATGCTTTGCTCGTTGATTCGGTTTGCAAGACGAAGTGATCAGGACAAGGCGGTTCATCAAATTGGGGCCGTATGTGTAAACTATCCCACCTTCTACCAAAAAATGAAAAAAAAAAATAGTGATAATGAATCTATATATTTTCCGATTGCCGGAATGTTGTTAGTGGATTACAACAAGAACCGGAGTGCACCAGTAGGGCAGGCAGCCATCACCCCCTTATTGTCAAACATAACCATCTCGTCATAAAAGAAACCCGACGCAGCTCGTTTGTGATGTTAGACTTTGCCCACCATGTAGCAATTGGGTTGTAAGGCAATTGGGCCTATAGTTTGTTAATGGGCCAAGCTAATTTAAATCAGCGCAACTAGCATTCGCCAAGTATGTTTTAATCAAGTTGAACGGCCTGACCGAAAGCAACTGTGCTCGTTCACGGTTCTCTCACAAAATTTTGATTTAGACCAAAATTTACAAACATGGGCTTTAGTTTGTAGCTGTTGGGTTTGATAATTGGGCCTTGTGTATTAGTTGGCCCAAGTAGTGCAAGATTCACATCAGCCCACCTCCACCAATGGCTAGGTTTATGAAGCTCAGAACCACTGCTAACTGAATCATTTATTTAGTTAGGCCCAGTTGGAGTCTGTCTCATTCCACGTCACATTAGTTATTATCATAAACTATTTTTCATAGTATATATAGAAGTTAGATAGCATTTTCCTTTACTAACTTCTCTTGACATAATGGACAAGAACTCAATTAACATAATTATTTTTATATTTGGGCTCAGAGGGTAGGTTGCTCCCTTATTGAGGTAGAAAGATGTTGGTGTTTGTGTCTCAAGAGTCATGCTGCACTAAAAGCCATTTATTCCCCTCATCTATTCAAATCAAATCTAGGAACATTGTAACAAAACAAATAATTTCTAGATACAAAAATTTAACAAAGCATTTATACAGAAATGACTAGGATTGACATTTTTGACCGAAAATAAAAAACCGAACGAACCGTACCAACTAATTTAAAAAAAAATCATAACAGAATTAAAAAAAAATGGTTCCAAAACCGTAAAGGTTCGATTTTACCGAACCGAATCGATAAAGAATTAAAAAAAAAGATCCTGACTGCTTTTAAGGCTTCTCGTGTGCGAGTGACTGCTTTCTCTATCCTCTAAATTGCAGTTTCTGAAATTCTCTTCCTCGAGTTAGCGATCTAATTCCATATCATTATTCTTCTTCCTCGTGTATGTCAATATGTGAATGAAATTTTAATTTATTTTCCGTATTCTAGATTGTAAAACATTGTAGCTTTTCTTTTTCAGAGTTTTAATTTATCTTGGTACGAACTCATATATTTGATTTTTCATCAGTTCTTGTATGTTAGAAATCGAATATGAGAAATTTCCTATGTGCCACTGGTTTATTGGTTTTATTTTCATCAGTACGTTTATTAATGAAAAATGATTTCAGATGCTACCTTAATGTAATTATGACTTGTGATTGTCTACCAACATTGAAGTTATAATTTGTCCTTCTCACTACAAAAAAATTGTTATATTCCAACGGAAAATCTGATGGTAATATATTCTAATGGAAATTCCAACAGATATTCCAATGGTATAACTTCCGTTGGAATGATTCCAATGGAAATTTCAACGAAAATATTCCGTAGGAATGTATTTTTCATTGAAATTTTAGATGGAATTTGATGATTCCAACGGCTTTTAACCGTAGGAATTTCCGTTGGAATATGTAATTTTCGTTGGAATTTTTATTTCCACCACCGTTGGAAAATCTATCGTTGGAATCGTAAAAAATCCAACGAAAATTTCAATGAAAAACTTATTCAAACGGAATATTTTTGTTAGAATTTCCATTAGATTATTCAAACGGAAATAATAGCATCGAAATTTTCATCATTAGAATATAGTTCCGTTAGAATTTCATCATTTTCTTATAGTGTTTGAAGGTAATTTCAACTCTTATTCCCACTTTTCGGTTTTTCGGTAAGAAACCGTTACCGAAGAGTTTTAGGTAACCGAAAATTCGATTACCGATTACAATCAGTTCGGTAACGGTTTCATATTTTGCTGTTAGCGAAATAATCAGTTCGGTAACGATTTAGTCTTACCGGTTTGGTAATCGAACCGCAACCCTAGAAATAACCAGTGGTCAAACAACTCAACCCATGTGGGAAACCCAGTAAAAGGCCCCAGCAACTAAATTCTAAATTTATCCAGTATATATAAATTTTATAGATATTGGAAATTGGATACTTTAATTATATTTGGGGTGCCCCTTGGACTGGGCTTTTTAATTAGGCATGGACCTTTCTCTCCCAAGTGCATTGTATCCTTCTCTTTGGATATAAGGCAT